CGCTAGCCTTGAGCTGAAGAGCTGAGGGACAGTGCCCAGGCCCAGAGTTCAGGCCCCACGACCGGACCCCCAAAAAAAAAAAAAAAAACTCAGTCTGAATCCCTTGAGCCTTGTGGGAACTCAGGCATCCTGGCTTTCCCATTGGGCCATACTTTTCCATGCTACCTCTCTTGCTTTTTCTTTTTGGGTGGTGGTGGTTTGAGGGACAGTGTTGGGAATTAAACCTCTAGGGTCTTGGATGTTCTAGGAAAATGTTCTACCACAGAGCTATAATCTCAGTCGGTGGGTTCTTTGTTCCCTACTTGTGGAAGAGTGATTAGTCTAGGAGGGATGCCCTGCATAACACACTTAGAACTTGATAAGTAAGGATCAAGTGGAGGTAAGAAAACAACAGCAGCCCGTTGCCTCTGCAACCCCAGGATGCCTCCTTACCTGCACCCTTCCCTTGCTTATGGAAGCTTACAGAGATCCTATTGGAAGGCTGAGCTCCTAGAGAGAAGGGGCTCCGGGGACTGCATTCTAGAGGGGTGACCACCATCAGCCTTGCAGGGCAGCTTCTCCAGTCTCAGGCGGGAGAGGAATTTCCTGAGGAAGGACTCTGATGACCTTATAGAAATGGGTGAAAGGCTTTTTTTTTTTTTTTAAGGTTTTGGGAGACTAGATGTAGTTTAGCTTAACTGCAGTGCTTAGTCCTGTCCTGAGACTGAGGGTCTATGCTTCAAGTCTTTGCTCTTCTTGAAGTACCTCGGGCTTATTCACTCTACTTCGTGAGGGGCAGGAAGCACAGCAGCCACCTCTCAGCATGGTCTTTTGCTCTAAATGTACTGAGATAGGATGTGCAGCAGGGAAGGAGGCTCCATGTGGCCCAGGAGTCAGCTATGATACTACAGGACCAAGGTGTTCCCCCCATCCCCCACCTCAAGAAGTTCAGGGAACATCCAGATTGGGAATGCAGGCCTATGCGGGGATCCAGGATGTAGCTGATAGGTGACCAAGTCACAGTCCAGGAGCCAAGGAGAGACCCCCCCTCCCAGATGGCAGAGCATAGCTGTGCCTCCTTATTATGGTTAGAAGCTTAGATGGCTCCTAGAGCTATAAGGCCCTTATAAAGGTGAGGTGAGGCAGGAGGGGGCTGGTGAGCTCTTCCAGTCATCCCTCTCTGGTTGTGGGAACCCAAAGAGCAGAGGATTCATGGGAAGATTTCATTCCAGCCTCTATTCCAGGCCAGGACTGACTTAGCTGCCCATTTTATCTTGCTGGTAAAAGGGAGGCTGAGGCCTATTGTTCCTTTTTGTCCTGTTCTTAGTGATCGAGACACACAGCTGGCCCGGCTAATGAAGCGGAACAACCTAAACCGAGAGGATGCAGAAGCACGGATCAAGGCCCAGCTGCCCCTGAAGGACAAGGCCCGCATGGCCAACCATATTCTAGACAACTCAGGCGAGTGGAGCATCACCAAACGCCAGATCGTCCTCTTGCATGCCAAGTTGGAGAACTCCCTGGAATACCTGCCACTGAGGCTCGGGGCCCTCATGGGTTTGGCTGCCATTGCCAGCCTCCTGTACCTGCTTACCCGCTACCTTCTGCCTTCTCCTTAGCTGGACGCACCAACAAAGGAAATGAGGCTCAAGTCAGATATGTCTTTAAACACACACACACACAGAGTTTGAGTCACACACACACACACACACACACACACACACACAGAGTTTGAGTCAGTGCCTGTGCTGGGCCAGCCCTTCTTTGGATCACTGACAGATCAAGAAGCAACAGGTCACTGCCAGTAGGTGCTCCTTCCCACCCTGCCCTCCTCTCTACCTCTCCTTCCTTTTGCAGCCCCTACAGAACAATACCAATCATGGCAGGAAGTGGGTTCCACTTAGGCCTGTGGGCAGGGTACAGTCTCTGCAGCTCTCACATCTGGACTGCCAGAGGTTTCCTGGCTTCTCTGAACATCTATCCCATCATGACCAAAACCTTCTTAGTAAACCCTAGGGAACCCTTCTGGAGCAAGGGCTTCTCAACTCCAAACAGGACTCTCCTCTAGGTTGAAGCCTTTGGCCAGAATACAGCATGGATCATTTCATTAGAAATGCTGTGGCCAGGCAGAGGCAGAGTTTTTTGTTTTTTTTGGGGTGGTCCTGTCGTGGGGCCTAAACTCTGGGCTTGGGCACTGTCCCTCAGCTCTTCAGCTCAAGGCTAGCGCTCTACCACTTGAGCCACAGCGCCACTTCCGGCTTTTTTTCTTTTTGCTTATGTGGTGCTGAGGAATCGAACCCAGGGCCTCAGGCATGCAAGGCAAGCGCTCTCCAACTGAGCCCCCTTCCCAGCCCCAAGGCAGAGTTTTTTTTTTTTTTTTTTTTTGGTCGGTCGTGGGGCTTGAACTCTGGGCTTGGGCGCTGTCCCTCAGCTCTTCAGCTCAAGGCGAGCGCTCTACCACTTGAGCTACAGTGCCACTTCCGGTTTTCTGGTGGTTTATTGGAGATAGGAGTCTCACAGTCTCTCTTGCCCGGGCTGGCTTTGAACTGCGATCCTCAGATCTCAGCCTCCTGAGTAGCTAGGATTACAGGCGTGAGCCACCAGCGCCCGGCCAGCAGGGGCTCGTTAAGGGAGGTAGACTGATGGAAGTGGCTTCCTCGGTGTCTATGAGCAGGACATGGGCATGGGGTAGACATGGAATTCCCTTTTCTTCTCCCCTCCCTTTCCCTCCAACTTCCCCTCCCTCTTTTCCTCTTCGCTTTCTTTCTCTCTTCTGCTCTCTCCTCTTCCTTCTCTTCTTCTTCCTCCTCCTTCCCCTCTTCCCCTATGTCCCTCCTGCCCTGCCCTCAGGGTCTGGCTATGTAACCCAGACTAGAACTCAAGATCCAACTTGCTTCTGCTGGGATTACAGGCAAGTGCAACTGTACTTCGAAGTTTTTAGTTCTGGGTACTGCTGCTCTGGCTGTAGACTATAAGGCAAGGTTTCTTTCCAAGCCACACCACATCTCAACCAGAAATGTTCCCCATCAATCTCACTTTGCACAGCAGAACACTTTTTTACACAAAGCATGCCTGTTTGCAAGCTATGAACTTGTATGACAAAAAGAGTAAGGAGGGGTAGAGAAAAGGAGGGGAGGAGTTTGCAAGCTATGAACTTGTATGACAAAAAGAGTAAGGAGGGGTAGAGAAAAGGAGGGGAGGAGAGCCTTTTTTTTTTGCCAGTCCTGGAGCTTGAACTCAGGGCCTGGGCACTGTTCCTGAGCTTCTTTTGTTCAAGACTAGCACTCTACCACTTGAGCCATGGCACCACTTCTGGCTTTTTCTGTGTATGTGGTACTGAGGAATTGAACCCAGGGCTTCATGCACGTTAGGCAAACACTCTACCACTAAGCCACATTCCCAGTCTAGGAGCCTTTCCTTTTTTTTTGGTCGTGGGGCTTGAACTCTGGGCCTGGGCGCTGTCCCTCAGCTCTTCAGCTCAAGGCAAGCGTTCTATCACTTGAGCTACAGCGCCACTTCCGGTTTTCTGGTGGTTTATTGGAGATAGGAGTCTCACGGTCTCTCCTGTCCAGGCTGGCTTTGAACCGCGATCCTCAGATCTCAGCCTCCTGAGTAGCTAGGATTACAGGCGTGAGCCACCAGCGCCCGGCTCTTTTTTTTTTTTCTAAAATATTTTTTTATTGTGAGAATACCATACAGAGGAATTACAATTACATGGGCAAGATAACATTTCTTATCAAGCATTGTTGCCTCCTCTTTGTTTCTCCTTCCCATCCCTTCCCATCTCTCCTCCTACCCCCTACCAGATTCTAAATTTTTTAAATTTAATTTAATTTTATTTGTGAACATACTGTACAGAGGGGTTACAATTACATGGGCAGGATAATGCGTACATTTCTTACCAAGCATTGCAGCCTCCTCCTTT